GCACATTCTCACAGCAGGTGAAAAGTGTGCATAAATATACGCACACTTTCACACAACGTTGGTTTTGATACATCACAGCGTGGGCGTAGAACCTGGTGCAYGCAACGTTTTTATGCGTACGCACCGTTTATACATGAGGGCCCAGAACCCTGGACCTACACTGAAACAGGGAGGAGGCTCRGCTCTGTTCTGGGGCTCCTGTGCATCTTATACAGGGTGTCCTTGAATCTGTTCAAGGTCCAGTGAAATCTCAGGATTACTTCTCTCCCTTTACTGAGTGTTGGCATATGAACATGTTCTGTTTCTGGCTGGGGTGTAAAGCTCTGGTTTAATCAAAGARTCTTTATTTTGTTTCGCTGTGGCCACAGCAGCACAAAGATGATTGACAATTAGTCCTTGTTCCTGTTCAATCTCCTGTGCTTTGTTTGGTTTACCCTCTTTTTTTTGCCCTCGTTTCCTGTTTCCTCTCTCTGTGAGTACAAATGAGTGAAAATAGAATCTGACAACACGGTTCTTTCTGGCTGTTTCCACATCAAACTGTGGAGGGAATCTGGCAGGTGAGACTAGGAGCAACAACTCTGAAAAGGAAATGACTATAAAGCTCAGGTTAGAGACCCTCACTTCCCACCAACCTCTGTGACTTTATACCAAAGCTTCACCTCTTCTGCCACAATCCTCACCTCAAAGTCAATAAGTGTTTGAAAGGAAAGGAGACTTCTGGGTAATTGAGTTCATTGGTTATAGGAACATAGGACAGTATCACACAMGCATCATTCACTGTCTCTACTCTGTATCGTGTTTAGGATCAGCGTCACTCCAACACATCAGAGACACACGTCATCACTAGTTTATTTCACAGGCAGACCTTTGGACACCAACTGTTTTCAACCTTGAAAATGGATTCAAGCAGAAAAACAAAGATTCCTTCAAGGAATGCACATGACCCGCTGCCTTTCATGCCACAGCGCTTCAGATTAAAATCCTCTCATGATGAGAAATGATGCAAATCAGGCTATACTGGTCAAACCTTGAAAATAACCTCATAAATGAACAGTTGATTAGTAAATGTCCAGGTTTTACCACCTTGTGTTTTCCTTGGATGAAAAGGATGTCAGAGACCTCAGGGGACAGTAATAACCATTTATAGCCTGGAGTCACTGCCTTCACAATGTCCTAATGTGTAATAATAAGATCTCAGCAGTGGAAAGGATTAAATGAAAGTGTTTGAATGAACCACTGTGACATTTTGAATATTACAGTAATTTTAAAGCTGCAAAACCAAGTTCAGAAGTGAGTCTGCTCGGACAGTTATTAACTGACAGCGGTTTAAATACATTGGTATAATTTGTTTGTAACATTTTGGAGCCTGGAGATATTTTAAAACTGCAGGAATCCACTTTGGTCTTTGCTGTTGTCAGACTAACCATGAGCTCATCTGTCTGGTCAAGATTCAAATATTTTCTCCAAACTGAGGCCCCTCAAAGAGCTGTCWACAGCAGTTACCTTCGGGCATAAAATACCATAAAACGCCTTAAAAAGTACACACAAATTAAATGAAGTACTGCTTTTGAAC